GCGGGGAGGGCCGGCGAGCACACGGGGAGCACCCCGCGAGCTCAGGACTCCCGCGCCGGATGTGAGGTCACGTGATTGCCTCATCCCAGCGCCGATCGCGGAGGGGCCGTCAGGGGGCGGGGCGACTCGCCGGCCACGCCCACCTCGCAATCGGGGCCCCCCTGCCTGCCTAAGCCACAGTCGCTGGCGGGAGGCACTCGGGCGGAGCGCTTTGCGGGGGATGCTGCTCAGGGCTCGTTTTACGAGAGTCTATGAACTGTGTGTGGCTTGCCAGGCACAGAAAAGGTCATAGTCTAAACCCCCATTTTAGGAACAAAGAAACTGAGACCCAGAGTGTTGACTTGCCTAAGGTGACGACAGTGAAGAGAGGACTCCGGTGCTAACTAGGTGGAGAGAAAAGTCCTAGCTCCGGGGCCACATTCTTTCCCTCCTTTATACCCCCACCACCACCACCACCTACACCAAAAAGAACACTTTAATTCTAATGGAACTCCTGGCCCAGCCCGCGGGCGTGGGACAGAGAACTGAGTCAGGTAAGCGCGAGAAAGCTTCCACACCCGAGACAGCCTGAGCCTCAGGGAGGAGTTTTCCGACAGTGCTAGATGCAAATTAAATACTTCCCTCCACAGGAGACTTATCTCGGGGCACTACCCCGCCCGGATATTCAAATCGCGGGTTTGGGTTTTCATTGCCTTCCGCTCTGCGCAGCGGCGCCGAGCGCGGGTAGCAAAGCTTGCCACCTGCTGCCTCCAACTCCGCCATCTTTCTGCCCTGAGTCCACCTCACCTGCGTACCAGATGCCTGGTCTTCACCTGTTATTGTTCTCCCGCCTTCCTGCAAACATAACTCTTAGCTGCTTGACGGTCTTAGAGGACAGAACACCATGTGCTCAACCTTGTTCCCCATACTTAGGCTTAGTCCGCCAAGGGCAAGGAGCTTCCAGCCTAGTCATCTCTTAGGACATGCCCTCTTGGTCCAGAGCACAGAATGGCACCTCGTTTGGGTCAGCACAGTGTTCCAGAACCATGGCACTAACACGCTTCATTTAAGAGCTAAAAGGATGCTGCCCCCTGCCCTCCACCTGCAGCAGTGGGGTCCTGGAAGATGACCAAGAAAATTCTTGCCAGATGATATGGCCCTCATACTAAACGAAGATAAGCCACAGCTGTGTATTCCCAGCTCGCCACTAAGTTTCAAACTTGAGTGTGTGTTTCTGTTGCTGGAGTAAGAACGTAGGATAAGGATTAGGGTAGCCTGGGTAGGGCCGAGCGTACTCCTTCCCGACACATACTCCTTCCAGTTCCCTTCTCTCCTGGTTAGTTACCTCCCAGATTTTAAACAAGCTCAAGTCTCTCCAGACCGTACAAATGTCAAGGCAACCATCCACTTACAGAGTGCCCTCTTCAGTTAGCTGCCAAGTGTTTCTGGCCCATTCACGCACACCTCTTGAACGGTGCTCTCCTCCGCCTCTACTTCCTCATTCCTCAACTGGGCAAACTGACCACACAGGAGGGTCGGGGGCTTTCTTCCCCTGCTCAGGTGAGAGTAACCCATCACGCGCCTTTGGGGCAGAAATGCTTCTTCCTCTGTACCTCTGCACCCATGGGTGTTCTCACCTTCTACTCCCTCAGTTTGCGGAGCACTGTGCTCTCCCAGTTCTCAAGTCTCAGTCCCTAAGACCTCTGCCCTCTTCAGTGGCATCCTTAAGTGCCACCAGTTGTGAAGCAGCACCTGAAAGGCATGGCAGCCCTCCAAGCCCACAGCTGCATTCACTCTGCCTCCCCTGCTCTGGAGACTCATTTCCACCTCTGTTATCAACTCCCAAAGCAGCCAGAGTGCGCTCTCTCTCTCTCGCTCTCTCTCTCTCTCTCTCTCTCTCTCTCTCTCTCTCTCTCATTTGTTTTGTTTCGTTTTGTTTTTCAACACAGGGTTTCTCTGTGTGTATTTCTGGCTGTCCTGGAACTTGCTCTGTAGACCAGACTGGCCTCGAACTCACAGAGATCTGCTGTTACTGGGATTAAAGAAGTGTGCCACCACCACTGGGTCAGAATGAAAGAAAGAAAGAAAGACAGACAGACAGACAGAAAGAAAAAAAGAAAGAAAGAAAGAAAGAAAGAAAGGAGGAAAGGAAGAGAAAAAAGGCAGAGAGAATCAAATATCCAGCTACCTGTCATGCGTCTCTATTAGCTCAAAGAGAAATGTCAATGGTGTGTCCAAAACTGAACTTGTCCTGTGCCTTTATAACTGCCCCTTTCCAAAGCTATTAGCACCACCATCACACAGCCATCTGAATTAGAAAGTTAGGAATGAATGAGTCACCCCTGATGAATCACTAAGCCCTATCTATTTCTCCTCGAATTCCTACCTCCATTCCTCTGGCACCCATCCTTTCCGAGCGACGCTGCTTTGACAGCCTCCCACCAGCCCTCTTCAGACAAACTCATCCTCCATCCTGCCTGAAGTGCACACCTACTTAAGAAGGTCAATGCACTCAGGCTTTTATTTTTATTACATTTATTTGTTGGGAGTGGGGGGCACATCATGGCACAAGTGTGGGTGTCAGAGAACGTTTTAGAGTTGGTTCTCTGGTCCCACTTCTCTGGTCTTGTCACAGGGGACAAGCCTGGCAGTCCCTATACCAACTATCTTACAGTCCAGCACTCGGGCTTTTACAGTCCAGACACTATGAGCCCACACCTGGTGATACATGCATGTAAAATCAGCCACTGGGAGGTACCAGCATGGTGAGTTTGTAGCCAGCTTGGACTATACGAGACCCTGTCTCAAAACAAGAAAATAAACAACCTCGAAAAGCCCAGTCTTCAAGATGCAGCCAAATTTCTCAAACTAAGGCAGCTCACATGGGGCAAGGGAACTCCTGGAAGAAATAAAGCAGTTAAATATCTCAGGAAGTTCTTTGCTACAGATGTTTTGAGTATGGGGAGAAGAGAATCTGAGCACGGGCTTGGGGAGGAGATGTAGAGTCGGGTTGAGGGCAGACACGGAGAAGAGAGTTCCCAGACAGTACCGAAAGTGATGAGAGCTGCTCTGAAAATCTTTGGAAGCTTGAGCGATACACAGCCTATCACATTTCTGGGCCCCAGACTTCTGCAATGCTAGACCCAGGCTTTCCTTTCTCTGATCACTATTTAAGGCCCCACCCAAGCTAAGTATGTTGGTCCACACCTAAAATGGAAGCTTTTAGGGAGTCAGAAGGATTCTGTGAGCGCTGGAGTTCAAGGTCAGTCAGAGTAATGTGTGGGGACTACACCTACAAAGGAAAAAAAGAAAGAAAGAAAGAAAGAAAGAAAGAAAGAAAGAAAGAAAGAAAGGGAAAGGAAACAGCAACAAAACACTCAACTCATTACCACAACACAGATTAACAGTCCTCCAGTCACATCTGACCATTCTTGCCACAAAAAGTTTTCCATCATCAAAATCCATCTTCACTTTTTCTCAAACCCCAACCCCTCCCATCACTTAACCTCTCGTGTCACCAAAACTGCAAAGCATCTATAGACACTCATGCTCATTCCCTTCCCCATATCCACACGTCACCCCGATACTATATCTAGTTCTTTTTTCTCATTCTAAAGACACAAAGCCCCCTCCTGATAGAGCTCTCTCTATAAGTGATTCTCAACCTTCCTAATGCTGCAATACTTTAATACAGCTCTTCATGTTGTGGTGGCCCCCAATCATAAAATTATTTTTGTTGTTACTTCATAACTGTTATTTCATAACTTTGCTACTGCTATGAGTCATAATATAAATATTTTTGGAGGTAGAGGTTTGCTAAAGGGGTCGCAACGCTCAGGTTGAGAACCACTGTTCTATTTAAGTTCAAGGTCAGGCCCTAAGGAGGTCACCACTATTCTCAATGCCAGGGGACTCTTTGTGTTTCTAGCTCTCTACCCACCCACCCAGCCACCCCCAACAGAATTCATCACCCCATCTTTCATTTTTATTTATGTTTTTACTTTATGTGTTTTGCCTGCATGTATGTCTGTGTGCCACAGGTCTGACTGACGCCCTTGGAGACCGGAAGAGGGTGTCATGAGCTGTTGTGTTAGTGATGAGAACTGAACCTGGATCCTCTGGAAGACAGCCAGTTCTCTCCAGTCCATTATTTATTTTTGAGATGGAGTCTCTGTCGCCCTGGCTGGCCACTACATAGGCCAGAATGGCTTGAAATTTGTGGCAGATCTCCAGGTAGCACTGAGATTCCAGGCATGCTCCTTCTCGTCTGTCTAACTCACCCTCTTTGAAACACCTTTTCTACCAGTTATGTTTGGTTATGTAGTCTTGGAATTCTTCCTCTTTGTTACCTCTTCTTTCTTTCTCTCTCTCTCTCTCTCTCTCTCTCTCTGTCTGAGAGCCAAAGG